AAACCACCACAGAATGTATATCCTCAGAAAATTCCCAGAGCACCCTAAGTACTAGAGATTGCCTGTTCTGCCCTAAGGTGCTGCATTACTATTTATGGGTTGTCACTCCACACAAAATTTGGCCAACCTGGGAAGCTGCCTGAAGAAGGATTTGAAAGGAAGCCGAGGTTACTGTGACAAAACATATATTACATTGACAGGTAAGGGTCTTGATGCTGAAGACAAATACTCAAAAATTCTGACATGTGCTTGTACATAACCTGATGACATATATATGATTAGTGGGATAATTTATGGTACTTTGACTGCATTGGCCAAAGCTACCAACATTTTAAATGAGATCTGCATTTTCCTTCAGCAAGATTTCCAAGTACATGGCATAGTGCAACAGCAAAGGAATGAGTCTGTATAAGGTAGGGGACAGTAACCCTCCAGAGCATGTCAGCTCTGAGATGAGTCAAGGAAGATTCCATCCCCGCATGATGGCTGTGCAGTAGCCTGTATTTAATGAAAACAATGGACATCACAGTCCAGAGACCATTACTCTTCACCATAAACTGTCTTTTAAGGCAGGGAATCCAGAGGCTTAACAGTCAAGAGCTACAGGCAAGTGGGGAGGAAAATTTACCTATATATTGACTAACGATGCAACTGGGGAATTAAGTCTCTGAACAAATGAGGCATCTTTCAACATCTTTAAAATTTGCTTTAGCTACTTCTTTACATAAAGAAAAAACACAGCTAGACTCAATCCAAAGCTGGTATAACAAAGCTTTAGAAAGAAAACAAGTAAGATTTGGGCGTCCTTCTTCTGCTTGCTTCCCCACTAAACCACATGTAAGGACATCACCAGGTACAGAAAATGTTGGAACACCAATGCTTTCTGCTATCACCTCTCCTTTCTCAGTCTCTTACATTAAATTTATACATAGTCTGTTTTTAGCACAGTGAGCCTTCCAGTGTAATAAAACAAACAAAAGAATCCCACCGTCTACCCTATCCCAGCCAAACCCAGGACACCCACAACACAGAATCCGCTCTGTCTGTCCTACCTCAGTGGCGGCACTACCACTGGGGTACCAAGTAAAAATCAGCCACTGACTTTAATCATTTCAAGCCTTTAATGACTTGCACAGACCAGCTACACACTGACTTCCAGGCTACAGGATTCTCAGCTTCTGCACATAATTGTACAGATAATTAGGTATCATTTTGTGTCTCAAACTAAGCAGCTTGGAAAAACTTAGACATATTTAGCTAAACCAAAACCACTATTGCCAATTGATGCTAAAGAATTTCAATTTCGCTCACACTACTGGGATTTACAATTCAGTGGAATACCAGAGGACTGGGTTGTTGGCTGGCTGAGCCAAGAAGACTGACCAAATATACTGCCAAAGTATTTGGCATCAAAGAAATAGTGATAGCCAAGAGAAATCAGATATCAGTTATTCTGTTCAGAGGCTATACCATCATTGTGCTCTTCCCTTTCTTTTACTACAAGGAATATTAACAATGAGATGGCAGCTTTTCTTCTGTTTATTTTACAATAAAGACATTGCTCAAGGTCCAAGGAACACGATTTCTAAACAAACAAAATATTTTAAAATCTCTGGTAGAGATGTTTATTGCCTTTAGAATATAATTCTATCCATGTAAATTATTTCACTTGAGCTGCAACACTCCCCCCTCCCCACAATGCCTGAGGCAATATATTAATTCATGAGAATAAGAAAATTAAACTAAGAAAAACAGATAATAAGCCAAAAGACATTTGACACTCCCTTTTCAGCATCTAAACTAACTAGATTTGTAATAGAAAACACGATAGGACCCAAACATAAACATGTTAAGCAAGGCAGTGCTACTACTCATAGCCTTATGTTGAACGCTTGGCAATAAATAAACAAGCATCATCTGTGGTAGAAAGTAAATATTTTTTTTAAATTCCCTAAATGTTTAGTGTGCATTAGGGACAATGTTTTACATTGACAAGTGTCAAAACTGCAGTGGTTGCATAAGAGGAATGGCATTTACATTCTGCTAGACTAATAAAGATATTTTCATTGTTTTATTCCAAAATAGTCCCCTTAAAAATTCATATACTGTGCTACATATTCCTCAATTACACCCCCCTTTTCAGGCCAAAGCTGCAAGATTCTCTCAAATCCCATCCAAGCCAACAGAATTTGAGCACTGAACACTTCTCATCTGTCTGGATGAGGCATGTGCAGCCAGTGTGAAACACATACTAGGCAGTGAAGATGAAGATACCTCTCACCAGCAGGCACCGATAGCCTTGGACAGACAAGTCTCCCCACAAGACCACAATGTGAGGAAGGGGGAAAGTGAATATACAAGCAGGGCTGCTCCTGCTGTGTGTGTGGAGGGGGTAAACATTTGGCTCTAGCCAAACTTGAGCACTACCTGACATACCTGAAAGCAAGGCAGACCACCAGAGATGCCCTTTAAACAAACTCTGCCACTAATGAAACCATGACAGGTCAGGAGCCAAAACAGGGGCAACTAATTTGCTATTGCCAGAGAACCCAGCATTTTGGAAAGAATGTGACAGAAGCTGGCAGAGGAGCAATTAATTGACCATTTTCACCCCCAGTGGCTTCAGACCACCTCTCTCCCCAGAGGAGCTGACACAAAATAAGTCTCTTTGTGGTGAAAAGTTAACTTCGCAGCCTGGGTATTCTGCCTTATCTCAAATTCTTCCTGATTTTGAAAGCAGCACAAGCATTAACTCCACTGTATTTTTTACAGACAGTGCCTGAAAAACTCTCCACATTATATATAAGGTAAGAGTTACCATTCCGGTTTTTCACTATGGAGACAGTGACAGAGTAGCTTTCCTCATGTCCTTAAGTTTAAAACTCAGGGGGTGCTCTGGCTACATTTATGAGGCCTGTTAAAAAAACAAGACTCCCATTTACAAACATCAAGGCTTCTTTTGAGAGAAAGCAAAACTAAATAAGCTTTAAAAAAAAAAAAAAAAGGTGCAATGGGAGGATACTATATCCAACCTCAAGAGAAGCTGACTGTTTCTCAAGCAACCACATTTGCCAATTGACCAGATATCTCAGAAACCTCTAGTCAACTGCCTTGTACACTGCCCAATCGGCTTATGGATCAGTCGCATGTTGTTCCAGGTTTCCTCCTTCTGAAAGCATCCATTCGAGGCATGAGGAAGGGACTATAATGTCTGCACCTCAAACTACAACTGATAAAAGCATGTAGCTGAGGCAAAACTCCCCAGCAAGCCTACTGGGAGTTTGGTAACTTGGCCTTTCACAACCTAGGAGATTTGTGCTGGTTCGTCAACAGTATGGATTTTATGTAATGTATTTGTGTTTCAGTGTAGTTCAACAATGTTCCCTACAAACCCAGCCTCCTCAGTCCAAAATAAGAGGATCAACAGAGAGGTTCACAGTGATTTAGCCAAATCTGGATAGATTTGAATGAATAAAAGCATGTCAGTGGCAGACTTTGCTCTATTTTCTTCTCTGTTGCTGAAAGAGCCAGACCTTTCATCTCCTGCCAGCTGCAGGAAGGCCCTCTGCAATCCTTTAGGTACCACATACTTGGTACCACATTCCTTGGTACCACATACTCAGGAGTCTGTCCAAGATACTGGTGAGATGAGAGAGCTGCCAGGAAGTCATTAGACATGAGGTAGGTAGAGGTTGTAATGAAATGCAAGTTACCCTGGAACATGAGCAAGCCAGTGCAAGTGACTGGAAACCGATGCTATATACAGCTATATCATACTTCCACTTTTCCCCTCTGGCTCCCCCATTCACTTCAGGTCTCAGTTTAAAAGTATCTTAAGCTTTTAGTACATTTCTTGAGCACACACTCAAGCCAGCAAATTTACATTTCTCTTTTACCCTCCCCATTCAGTATTTGACAACACTTATACTACGTCTAATCACTGCTTTGCCCTTTCACGCTGTTGGTTCAAGGATCTTTCTCTGTTGCAGCTGCAAGGCAAAAACATTTTGTCTGACTGGTATTCCGCTTAATTTCAAAACTCAGCTGACACGTAAATTGCCTCCTTTCTCTCTGGCTGTGCTTCTCCTTTCCCACCCCCCCATTCAGGTGCTTTATGGGGCTTCACATACAGACCCCCAACACGAAAACACTCAGGGGCCTGGCCTGAACAACTCTTCCAATCCCAACCGCACCCGGCTGTCTGGTGAAGCACACCCCGTCCCCATGCCACCGCACAGGGCAGGACGCCAACCTGCCAAACCCATTCCCCCGAGATGCGAAGCTTTACTGGTGCCCCCCGGGCACTGGAGGTGGAAGCAGTGCCGGGCCGCGCAGAGCGTCCCGACCCCCCCCGCCTCAGCACAGCCCGGCCGTGACGAGGCACCGCCGTTTCCCCCCCGGGGCAGCAGCCCCTCGCCCTTCCCCGACGCGCCGGGCCGGGCCGGGGGCGGGGAGCGGCGGGGGTGTGCGGGAAGCACAACGCGCACCTCCGGGAGCCGGTGCCGCCGCTCCCTCAGGGCCCGGCGGGGGCTGAGGCGGCTCGAGCCACCGTCACCACCGTCCCCCGCCCCGCGCCGCCGCGCGCGCCAGCGGCCGTTACGACAGGTGCGGGGGCGGCGCGCGGGGCGGGGAAGGGGAGCGGGAGGCGGCGGGGGGGGATGGGGCGGGAGGCCGAGGCACGGCGCCCTCCCTCACCAGCTCATCCCGCCACGGTGGCGGGCTCGCCCCACTCTGCCCGGTCCGGCCCGGCCTGCCCCTCGCCACCCCCCGGCCCGCGCCAGGCGGGCAGAGCGCCGGCCCCGTTCACCTGGCTGGGCTGCTCCGCTTGCTCCGAGGAGGCCATCTTCCCAGACCCGGCTAATCCATCCCGCCCAACCGATGGAACGCCCTCACCCGCCGTTCCGCACCCCAACCCCGCCGGCTGGCGCTGCAGGCAGAGCCAGTCGAATGCCGGGGCACCGATGCGCCCCGGGGGGCGGGGAAGAGGAGGGGAGAACCACAACTGCCATGAGTTTCCGGGCTCAGCCGCCCTCTCGACGGGACAGGGCAGGGCTGCGGAGAGCGAGCCGCGGACTGCGAGGCTCTGTGGGTTGCAAGTGCCCAAGCTTGCATGGCAGGACAGTCCTCCTTGCCGAGGAAAAGCCATTGAAAAGACCCGGGCGGTGCGGCCGGGCCGCCGTGCGCAGCTCCGGCGTTGCAGCTGTGGGGCTGGCTATGGCGCACGGCTATTTTACGGCTTCTTAAAGAACGGGCTCGATTTCTGTAGGGCCGGCAGCCCACCCTGCGTGCCTGGATTTCTCCCGTGTATCCTTTCCCAGGCAGCACGCCTGGCTGTGAGGGAGCGCATCGTCCGAACGCACGGCGGCACGCTCGCCCTGCTCCTTTGTTTCACAAGCGGCTGCCAGCGCGGAGAGCCCTTCTCGACGGCCGAAACGCTGAGGGGAAGCGCCCGTAGGCTGCGCTCAACACCCCCGCCCCGAGGAGCCTTTCCCGCGTTCGGGCGCCGGTTTCACCGCCGCGGGCGGCCATGGCGGCGCGGCTGAAGCGCTGCCTGCTGCGGCGGCGGGACGGGCGGCAGCAGCACGGCGTGGCCGCCTCTTGCCTTCGGGAGCTGCGCGACAAGGGTGAGGGGCAGGGAAAGCAGCGGGGACCCGCCGAGCCCGGCCGCCCTGTGCAGGAGGCGGCGGGTCCTGGGGGGGGGGAAGGGGGAAATCAGCGTCCCGGAAACGGGTACGCCACGGTTTGCATCAAGAATATTGATTTCTGGAGGGGAAACCTGTGAGTATGGGCTAAAAAAATTAGGTGACGTGCGGAACTGTGTGGAGACAGGTCCTGGGCGCTAGCCTAAATTACTAAGAGTTGCTTGACTTTCGTGATGGGTGAAATAAAAGGGCAGTGCGTCTGTCACATATATTATTTCATCGGGTATTTTTTTTCCCCCCGTTCTGCAGCTAGTGCCATTCTGGCAATTGACAAGGCCATGCAGCCCATCACCTTAGTACTGGCAGAAGATGGCACCATTGTGGATGACGAAGATTACTTTTTGTGTTTGCCATCTGACACCAAGTTTGTGGCACTGGCCAAGAATGAGAAATGGTCCGGCAAAAGTTCAGGTACTCTGAGGATGAGGGAGCAAGGAAAGGGAGGGGTGTTTGGAATACACCTAGTGAAATTAGGCTGTCTCGGGTGGATCAGGAATGACCCGTGAAACTGATGCTTCTTGTGTCAGACAGTGGAACGTCCTGGCTCTCAGAGTCTGTGGATGAAGTGGATAGTGCTGCAGAGAAGTGGAAGCAGCTGGCCAGGCAACTGAGGGATGACCTGTCTAATATCATCCTGATGTCTGAAGATGACCTCCAGGTACAGTGGGGAAACCTCTAACTCCTGTCCTTGGCTTTGCCTATCATCCATTCAGCTCAGTAGATGGCAGAGAACAGAATTAAGTAAACAAGATCTTAAGCTTAATTCAGCTGCAGTTGTTGGGCTGCCGTGCTAGAGTCAGATTTCCAGAGTCAGATTTCCCCCTGAGGGGAAACACTCACAAGTGTCTGGGGAGGATGCTTTGAATCACTGACTGTCCCTCACAGCATGTCTTTCCAGTTCTGGCAGTGGGAGGACAAAAAGTCAAGATTTGGCCAAACTGCAGCAGAAGTGGGCTTCTTTCTTAAAACCTGTGTAATGTGTCAAAAGGGAAGGCTGAGCAGCATTCCATGTCTCTGCTCCAGAGGGGTTTGAAGAACTGCTGTCACTTTCCAGAGCTGATTGATTCAAATATTTGACTGCTTAACACCACTTTGTACGTGGTGAGGCATGGTGGTAACTGCCCCTTGTCCTCCTGCAATGTGCAGCTTCCCGAGTGCCAGGCTCTCAGCTTTCTGTTGTGTATTCCCATGCGCTCTTAAGAAGTAGTACTTTGATTGACACGAGTTGTCAGGGTTTCTGTTAAAAATGCACATGATTTCACACCTTCCTGGGTGCCTTTTGGCTTCTGGTAAAGAATGCTGGCTGGTGGAGTGCCACTACAGCCTCTCATAACTAGGCTGACTTGCTATGACAAGAAACCTCGTGAAAAACGCCGGGTTTCCTGAAGGCAGAGGCTCTGTCATGCAGGAGGTTTGCTGTTTGTTCTGGGGTGGGTGTGATGGAGTGAGTTACCCAGGCAGGCTGTGTAACAGGAGCACTCTCACTGTTTTAAGGTGCTGATTGATGTACCACGTTCAGACCTGGCAGAAGAACTTGCCCAAAGTCAAACCAAAATCCAGGTATTGCAGGACACCCTGCAGCAGGTGCTGGACAGACGAGAAGAAGAACGCCAGTCAAGACAGCTACTGGAACTCTACCTAGAGGCCTTGAAAAACGAAGACAGTATCTTAAGCAAAGTAGCAGGTAGGGAGCATTAGGATGCTAGAGAAGGAGCTTTTCAGAAATGCTTGAAGTAGTTGAGTAGAATAAATAAGACAGAGTGAAGGACTGGAGTGAGTCATTCACTTAGCAGCTGTTAATGTGCTTGATGTAACAGCTGGTATAGTGTAAGAATTCTTTGACTGAGAGAGAGCAGGAGTCCTCTCACTGCTGTGTCACATTTCTCACAATGTCTGCAGGTAGAATACTGGGAGAAAAGCTTAGATCATGTATTCTTGAGTCAGAGGATGCACCTAGATAGAATGTATCTTTTATTAATCTCAAAAACATCACAGCAATCCAGGTCATTTTTCCTGTGCTGTGTTTGTCACAGGCTGTAATGATTCTGCTATTTTTCAGAATCTGAGACTATACCAAGAAAGGAGATGGATGTGGTTGACACAGGTACCAGCAGTACAGGCCCTTCAGCCAGAACGGCGCTCAGTGACCAGATCCTTGCTGCTCTGAAAGAGAAACCTGCCCCAGAGCTCTGCTTGGACAGTCAAGATCTAGAGGTGGGTGAGAATGACATAACCATATTCTGGCAAGTCTCTCCCTCTGGAGAAGGAGGTTATAGGGGAAGCTGTCCTTGCTTCTGGAGGCTCTAATGTCAATGTGGTGAGATTTAATCTATTTCTCTTCCTCGGCAATGCTACCCCCTGCTTGGAGCTCCTCTGTAATAGCCAGCTGACACTATTCCAAGTACTCTACTCTGTCCTCTGAAAAGGCACAAAATGATTTTGGTTTTGATCTCTGCCAAATCATAGTCGTACAGTGCTTCAGCTGTCTTATCAGCAAGTTAGGGTTTTCTGTATGCAGATGGATCTAGCTAGATTTCTTTTATACATCCCAAATCAAAACCTCATTATTTTGGAAAACTGTACATAAACCCATAGCTTGGAAAGGAAGGTCTAGGTAAACTTTGAACACTAGAAGGTGTGTTCTTTCTAATGCTATGAACTTGCTCCTCTTGCTTTTCCCTGTTGTAGAAACTAAGTAACTGCTTTCTGTTCCTTTCAACATCTGAGTATAGCTTCAAGCTCTAAGTGTTGGTAGAATATTGAAAAAGCTGGGAACATCCTCAATACCAAATTGGCAATATTACACAGGTGTCTCATTACTGCTGTTCTTAATCTGGGCAGGGGGGTTAGTGGTGGAAGAGCATCAGTAAGAAAGACTTGGAAATCTGTCTTGCTACAGCTGGTCTTGAAAGAAGACACACAAGCCCTGGCCTCGGCTCTAAGATGGGACAAGCAGAAAGCTGATGCTCTGCAGCAAGCCTGTGAGCAGGAGCTCTCCAAGCGTCTACAGCAAGTGCAGACTTTGCATTCCTTGAGGAGCACGTCAAAGGGCAAGAAAACGCTACCCTGGGGAGACTGGCTTGGTTCAAAACGCAAGAAATAAGACTGAAGTGCTGCTTGCAATTTTTCCTTATTTTTTTTTCTTTAGAATCAGTACAAGTAAAGATCTATCCCGGGAGCCATAGTTTGCTGGTCATACTGTGGTGTGGCTATAGACAACTAAAATCTGGACATTGTCCTGAGGCTTATACTCCTGTGATGATTCAAATCATGTGTAACCAAAGGGATTTGAATGTTTTGCAGAATACTAGAACAATGTCATTGCTAAGCACAGCATGTAAGGGGTCAGCTTTGAATACCTGGTTGGGAGCCAGAAGCTTCCAGCTGATAATGATGGATCTAGCTTCTGAAGCCCCAGGCAGTTTGCTTACTTTGCCCACTCTCCATTTTCAGCGTGAAGGATGGAAGACCTCCAGAAGACACTTGGAGGCGCAGTTCATGAACAGGGAAGAGGGGTTAGCCAGCTGCTGTCTGGCTTTAAGCTCAAGCCTGGGATTTACGAACTTGAATTCTCACACTAATTTCATCAGTTAAAGTAAATTCAAAGTCCTTTAACTTCTGTGTTTTTTCTCTAAGGAGCTCCTGCTTCTTGGGTGCAGTGTAAGCACTAACTTGTAACACACAGGAAAGGTAGAAATACTTACTCTCCTAATCATTAGTGTAATATCATGATGCTTTTGTATTAACTGTCTTATTTTTAAATTTGTTAAAGTCTTTTTTTCTATTACCATTAAAACCATTTTACCTTACTGTTGGACTAGTTTTGATATCCCCACCAGCTGCTACAATTAAAGAGTATGCTGATAAGTACACTATTATCTTAAGAATAGAGGAAGAAGAAATTAAATGCAGAAGTACTCAGTATTTAACCTATCCAAAGTATGGAGGTAGAATGCATGTTCATATTGGTGACACTGCACCAGAACTCTCACCTGGCACAATCTGTTTTGCTGTTGTGAGAACAGAAGATGCATATGAAAAAAATCTGAAAAGTGAGCTGAAACTTCTAGTTAGGTACAAATGTTTTCTAGTGTCATGCAAAACCATCTGAATTAACATAACCTGAAATGGTACAGGATACCAACTGATAAGTATTCCTAAGCAGGCTTTCAGATGAACCCACGGCATATAGACATTCAAGTTGAAATATGGCATACTCAAAGTTTGACTACCACTGTAACTAATAAATATCCTAAACAGTTTAGTGCCTTTGAGGAGGTAAGCAAAAATCCTTAGGGTAACTTTAGATGAAGCTACCCATATGGGAACTGACTGGACTTAGGGGGGAAGCTTTCAGTCAACTTTTTGGTCAGTCTGTTTTGCTAGGGCAAGTAACTGTTCCTCACAATCACACTTCTGGCTTGTAACATTATAGGCCATGGCAGGTAAAAAGGTTTCCTGCTGCTTTAAATAGTTACAAGCTTTTTACATTCAAGTCTTTCTGAAATAACATTTATGGCAGTGCATTAACAGAATTTTTGAAGTATGCTCTGTTGCACTCAAAGCTAGTTACACTGGCTACCAATTGCAATAGCATGCATTGAGTAGACTGGCTGTCAGCAAGTTGCTTCTGTGAGCTTGTGTCTCAACTTGTCATTACTACTCTTATTATAAACCAATTTTTCAGTCTTGCTCACAGCTGCAATGCTTTTTCTTTTTTCAAGCTCAACTTGGCCATAGAAATGCTGCTCATGCTGTACAAGAGGAATTAAGGGTTTTACCTGTGGCTTTTTTACATCCACTTAAAATAGCAGATAACACCTTTGCTTCAATCCTGTGTGTATTAGGAATATTTAACTCACCTACTTCCAGGCAAACACTAAGATGGAGTCACAGAGACCATGCTGATCATTCTTGTAGGAAGGCAGTGATGGTCCTTCCAATCTAGCCTTAAGGAAAAAAACAAACGGAGGGATTTCATTGCTGCTTTTTCTTTTTTTCTGTTACCAAGGTTAGAGCCCTTTAGTTGCCTATATATTATTAAATGTTGCAGTTGTTATGTTACAGAATTCAAATTATTAACTAGACCTAGCATAGTATGATATAAACTGTTAGTTTTAATTGTTCTGTTCTAATCTAACAATCAGACTTTCATAATCTGATGGGAGCTGCAGTTATACTCTTAGCCTAAAGCTGAGCTGGCAGTTTAACACTAATATTGACTATATTTGCAAAAAGAGAAGGTATGTAATACTTAACTCTCTTTAAAGCTCTATTATAGTCAACATCCTTCAAAAGGATGAAAAATAGAAGCTCCGTGAAAAATAGAAGCTATTAACTACTAAGAGACTTCAATGCCGCATATCATCCTGTAATTTCTATTAAAAAAAATCCTTTTTTAGTGGTCAAGTTTATGTATTGCTTCTTGAGCCTCCTTCAGTAGTGCAATCAAAGATGAAAACTGCTAAAACATCTCAGTTTAATGAGATTTTAAAACCTAACAATAATCAGTATATATATATATATGTATTTTTTTTTTTAGCGTAGACTTTACTATACATCTTTAGATCATTATATTCTGAAAGTTTGTAGCTAGAATTTCCTGTTGGTGATAACAAAGAGCTGCTGCCAGATCCAGTATTTCCACAGCAAATAATCACAAAGCTTTTCAGGAAACAATCCTTAGCTATTGGCCAGCACCTTCTGCATACCACTAGTGCATATGCATGTGTGTTTGGAGAGGAAGTAACAGGAGATTTTAGCTGAGGACAGCAGACAACATCAGAGCTAACAAACTTTGAGACATATTACTTCCCTTCCTGACATGTTGGTCTTAATTACCTTAAAAAAAAAAAAAAATCAGGTAAGCTGTGTAATAAACATCCACTAGGCCTTCCTCTTGAAAAGATAGCTACTACGGTATCAAAATGCTTGCTGCTTCTAAACACCTAGGAGTCCTGTGAAATAAATCCCAATTTTCTACTCAAGAAAGGAATAGGATAAACAATAGAAACAAATCAAATAGAACTGCACATGTTGACAACCAGACCCCTACAGAAGTTGCTTCTTTAGAGACAAGGCAGTGAATCAGAGGCTAAGATACTAGATAATTTTTTGCTTATCTTACCCCTGTAAATCAGGAGAAACTGTCCACCTAAAACATGCTCTGTAATCTAATTTAGCCTTACATTACATCTACATTTTGTAGACATGAGGTGTTTGATTCACTTCAGCTTATTTAAGCTGCACAGACACTTTATGCAAAAATTAGCATTTCCTTGGTCTTATTCCTGTAATATTTAACAAGCTTTAACTTTTGAACAGGGTGAATGACCTGGCCATGATTCACGAGGACAGATTTTGTACAGGTGTTCAGGAAGGAGGGATACAGTATGGAAGATCTAAAAAACAGCCAAAAGATGTGTAAAAACATAGGATGGCTGCCATTACACTTTTTTCAGGGTAAAAATTTTAGAACATCAAAGCCTTGAGTTAAAGTCTTTAATACATTCAAGTAGACAAACCTATCCAGTAACAGACCCCTTCTTCAGGAATAGATGTGCCATGAATGAGTATCTTCAGTTAATGGTCTTCAACACTGCATTAATAATTTATCCCTTAAAGCACCAAGAAAAATCTTTTGCCTCTCCTGTGGGATTGGGTTGATGATCAAGGTACATTAAGGTAAATAAAGCCTCATGAACCTCACAAGTGTAATGTATAGTGTCATTCAGAAAAAAAAAAAAAGGCAATATGAAAACTGAGTAATGTAAGCACTGGTGTGCCATGAAGACAGATTTCCTGTTGCTTACAGAACTGTTGGTTTATTATCTACCTAGTCTACATCAGTCAGTAGAAGAATTCTAACAGATAACTCTCATCCCTGAAAGTAGAACAGCCTGGGGTAGGGGAAAGGGATGGTAAAGTGCCATTGTGTCGAATTTCCTATCTAGAGCCAGAGATAGGATTCATGCCATTCCTATTTTCATCTACATTGTAGCACTTGATTTTATTTGATCAATATGGGATACTTACAGCCTACAAAAGATGTTTTTCCCCTATCCACTACTGTTTAATAGCTTAAATATAGACCAAGAATGAAAGAGAGGACATGTCAGGAGTCCAGAGCATTACTCTTTTTCCATTGTGTCAGGTGTAGCTGAGTGACTCTAGTCCATAAAGTGTACTCTTTCAAGAGAAGGGTTTTAAACAAGGAACAAGGTTATACCTTTAACTTCACAAGGATGATCAAAAATATTCTGTCATCTGGAATCTTCTTTATCTTGAGGTCATATTTAAGGTATGAGTCTTACTAAAATGAGAACCTGATGACTTTCAACTTGGTTTTGGGGAAATGCCCTAAACTGTATCCTTCAGGAAGGAACAAGTGACTTCAAGAAAGAGTTTGTCTCATGACTCAGGGGCTGACCAAGATAAACAGTGTTTAAGTTTTTCCTCTTTTGCTGCATATTTTAGACTATCCTTGGCAGGTATATTCTTGCTGCCCAGGCAGTAGCTTAAGCAGCCTTCTCACTTCACTTAGCTATAACTAATACCTTTATGTCTTTAAATCTGCTTTTCTACCACCAGCGTTCGGCGAGCCGCTGTCACTCCACCAGAGGGCAATGGCGAGACATTTCTGAACGCCACTCCAGCCGTATTACTACTGCAAAATTTAGAAATACCGTGCAACTTACTGAAAGTGAAGCTTGCACACCAGAAGTATCACTGGTGAAAAATTACACAAAACATGTTTTAATTGTCAAGACAATAAGTGAGAGATATGGCTATTAAAACAAGTTATTCAAAATAACTAAGCAAACGTATCAAAAATGGAAGCAAGGAAGAAATCAAACAATTCCTGGAGAAACTAAGTAGCAGCATGGAGGGAACTACACATGCTGAGGTATTATGGTCAGTGAGAATGTTGCGCTTTAAACTTTTTATTTAAAGGATTTTCTTTTTAATAACAGTAAGAAACCTTTCTGTGAGCAATTAAGGCATTTTGGCTGTAAGCTTTACTGAATTCTGACAGACCTTGCATTTTTGGAACAAAAAAAATCCAACTAATCATGTTCACCTAAAACCCTACAGATTCATTACTGTTGCTAACCTGCAAGAGGAATCTCTCATAGGCTAACTTTGGTTCCTCTAGGATAATAAGAGAAAATGACCAGAGACATTACTTTAAAGGTAAATCATGCCATGTTAGAATCTTCACTTTCAGTCACAGCTGCTTCTTGTTTGCCAGAAGTTCCCCCTCCCTTAGCTGCACTGGATTTCTTTTTCTTCTTCTCCTTTTGCTCCATGTTATTTGATGTGATCTCTTCACTCTTCTGGGTGATATACTTTAGCTGAGAACAATAAGTTAATCGGTTATCTAGTGAGAAACTTCATTTATTCATGAGAAATCAGAAATGTTTAAGAGAAATTAACATGGCAAATTCTTATTACAAAAAAAGACAGACAAAATTAGTATTGGAAGTATTCTTCATGGAAGCATTTACAGGTATGTCATAACAGATTAGTGAATTTAAATCCACTGAATATCATACAGATCAGAACATGAGAATACAGTAATGTGAATCACCCCTACATCAACGTTAGGAGACATGGCACTGCAAGGTGGACTCAGGCTGTTCCTGACCTTACACTAAAACAAAGGAACACAACACCAGGCAAAAACCAAGTGATTTACTTCCAAGATTGACAGTGCTGCAATGTGTGTCTGTTCTTGGAACCCCAGCAGCCCTGTTGCAACCAGAACATTGCTGCTTGAACTGCTATCAGATCTGCTTTCCCATAGTGAGGCACAGTGTCATAAAGCAAAATAAGATGAAAATTTAAAAATAAAATCACAGCACATTGTGTCTATCCATCACCTATAAGCCAGTGAAATTTCTTAAGCAACAGTTGCTTCATCATCTATAGCCTTCATTCAAATGCCCCTAGGAATTAACCAATTGGTTTAAGAATGTTGTGAGATAAAAATACAGTGAATCTCACCAAAGAATTGCTCCTTCTAGCCAAAAGCTTCACGTCTTCTGTAGTGACTGTGCTTCGTTTTGCATGCCTGCATAAAATTAAAAATACCCCTTAATGTGTTTGCCAACATAGGTTGTAAGAGGCCACACAGCATCTAATTCAGAACACTAATTAAAAGGGCTTAATAGGGACCCAGTAAACCAAACACACCTATCTTTTCCAACTACAATACACAAAAACCTACTTTAAAAGTTTGTACAGGTACATCTAAATTCCCACGCTTCCTGTGAAAAACCAACAGAATTTAGCAACCAGAACTTCAAGCACCACTGTTCCGTTCCCTCTTACTTGCCAGTAGATCACTGTGTTAAGTTTTGACTCCTTAAAACATTCCCTTCCTTGGAGCAACAAGATGAAACACAGGCATGCTAGTAAGCATCTGTCACTCACAAACCATCCATTACTGCTGTGTATGAACACATTTGACAATTATATACAGTCATTAATTTAAACAATCACTTGTACCACATAAACATACTTCTAAGATCACGAAGAACCTACAGGGAATATCTATTTCTGAACTTCACAGCCACTATTTAATCAGCCAATAGAAGAACCCTATAAAACTTGAATTACAAGGTGTATTTTTAAAATGATGTAGTTATTGGAGCTAAACACAAAAAAGAAAGCCTTTATAAAAGTAAAGTGTTCCAATACTTACCTTGCAAACATTTCAAGGTCTTTTGCAAAGTTATCTGGGGAAAACACAAAGACACCACATATATTAAAATGCTGAATAGGAAGAGACACATAATGCAGTTATAGCTGTTACAAAGGTGTAACTGCAAATTATCCAAGTTAGTTATGAAAAGCAACCATAACTTGTTATCATATGTCACTCCGTTCCCCAGGCAGGTGGCCCACACATTACTTCCACATACATTTAAATACCTTTTTTCCAGGTCTGAAAAATCACTCTCTCTTGTACTTTTAAAAATGTTATGCAAGCAAACAGTGCAGTAACCCCTAGCTCCAGTGCTACTGGCAATTGCTCTTGAACAAATAAATAATATGCAAACTTCTGTACCACATTGCCTGAAGGTGATCTCCGAAATAGCTGCAATGGTTTGTTTGCTGAATTGCACGTCTTTGTCTTCTGCAACATCCTGACACAGGCAGCCAACCGTGTAGTGAACCGCAGCCTTCAGCCTCTGAAAGGATCCAAGGCAGCGACAGGTCACTTCTCCGCAGACTGATATACCAGCTCTTGCGTAAATCACCACGACTTTTTAAAATGACGCAACATAAGCGACCGTTTACGGGCCCCAACACACCCTACAACACCACGGCGATCACCCAGCGCCCCACACCCGCCCGCCACGGCTCCATCTTGTCCCGGCCGGGCCCTCCCCCGGCGGCTCTGGGGACCAGCCCCGCACGGCAGGAGCGGGCCCGGGGCTGCGGGCCCCGTCCTACCTGGGCGAGCAGGAGCCGCTCCTCGTCGCCCGCTGCCTCCATGGCGCGGCCCTCAGCGCCCCGGCCGGGTTTCCCGCCCAGCGCGGAGGGGCGGAGCTGCGCCGCCGCCATGTCGGGCGCCGCCGCAGCGCTGAGGGGAAGGGGCCGCTCCAGGGGAGACTCCAGCCCAGCTCAGCAACGGGCTGAGGAATCCGCCCCGGTTCCCCTCGACCTCTCCGCCGCCTTGTTGCTAAACAAGGTGTTTGAAGACGCTTTTCTACCGGCGAGGAAAAGCGATGTCCCGCAGCGGGCACGGCCCGGCTTCGAGCCGTGATTACAGCACCCGTCATGTCCGAACACCCCACTTCGGGGTTCAGGACGCACCGGGACCGTGAAAGCTCATCCCTCTCCCGCGAGTTATTTCATGGTGGCCGGCGGAGATAACATAAACTCGCAAGAGAGATATAAAGCAACATTAGCTGATGTCCCCAACTCTTCCCTTACCCCTAAACGGTTCAGTTTAAAGGAGATGGCAGACAAGCACTGCTGATAAACCCAATGAGGCACACACTGCTTCCTCTGACTGAGCAGCTGCCAGCTTTCAGCACAGTGGGATCCCCGATAGAGTAGGTATTTTTCTCAGCACTAGTATCATACTAAGCACTAAAATAGATTGGTGGGACTATCCATCTTCCCCAAAAACAATGCTTTTGCACACACTAAGGTGGCAAAAGTGTTCCTCCTGTACACCACAGTAATTTCTAATACAATTCTCCTGCCAGAGAACCTAAACCACAAATATTGGGGCAAACTGACTGCTAAAATGTTCATAACCCTCTAGTTAACACTATTGCCTTCAATTTGTCACGCATGTGTTTTATGTAATTCCTAAATCTTACAGCATCATTTGCAGAAAAGCTGCTTTAAATTGAAAGTAATCTTTTGCTAATTATACAGATATTCAATTAGTAACTAAGTAGCTAACTGTCCTAGCAGAAATAAATGGAGAAAACAAAAATCAGTGCACAGCACAAAATTTAACACCAGAGGTTCTGAGAAAAAAATAATGGTACAGGCACTCAAGTGAATTTTCAGAAGTCCTGAAGACGATTGGCAGGGGGATTGCAGGAAGAGGATATCAAATAGGGCCAACTCTGCATGCTACTACAGGTATTTTTAATTGGCCCATAGGAAGAGGAGGCAAAGAAGCAGGAAGACTTGGGGAAAAAAGTACAAGCACACAGCTAATCCAACAGCTTATGCCAGAGCTTAAAACTGGGAACAGTTGGAAGGAGGAGGGCTCAGTGACATGACTATCAGTCTTGACACCCTTGACCTGCATTCAAGTTTCTCCTTGACCCATCCCACCCTTCACCCTGCTTGTACACCTAGGAATTCATCTTTAAGAACCAAGCTACTACCTGTTATGAATAAACACTGGCAACCAAAAAAAGGCCTTTACCTCCCTGAAATCTTGTGTAGCGTTGCTGTGCTGTCCGCCATTCTCCACTTCAGCAATTATTGAAATGCAGACATCTCTATCTTGATCCCTATATGTTTATGTACTATAATACAAGAAAAGTATTACCATTATAAAATATATTCTATTAAATACTGCACAAAGATATTTCAGCTAGTTTTGGCCAGCTGCAGTGGAAAGAAAACACCTCAATGGGTTTATAAGCAAATTTATTTAGCTTTCTTATATGATATATATATTGAGAGATATATATATGAAATATACCCACAAGTTATTACAAAAGTGTCCAAACACAAGTTTTAGCACAGTACAGTAAAGTGGTATTCTAGGAAGAATATCTGAGATCTACAGTATCTTGGCTTCAGGAGGAAATATTTCCTTTAGACATTATAGGCAGAAGAGGACACATTTCCTCCATGGCCTGTCCAGTTAGTATGGATAAATACATCTGGCTTTGATAGTAATTCATATGTATGTGCACCAAAGTAATCGCGCTGAGCCTAGAATAAGAACACAAACAAAACAGACATGAATATCACAGTCATGAGTACTAGAAGTTGCACCTACTGATACTTGACTATAGGAATATTAGAAATAAGATCTGACTCCAGTATTATAACATTCAAACTTATTTTCTCATTAATAGCAAAATCACTGCGATTAAACATTTACTAATATCCACTAATTAAGAATTCTGTAGAAATACATATTAATTCTGCTAGGTACTAATTTAAAAACCAAGCACTTCTATACATCCAAAGGTTCAAAGATACTTACTTCTTTATAGAGCACTTGGATTCAAAAATCTCATTACCCTTGGTTCACAGATGGAAAACTAACACCTGCTTGGCACTGTCATACCAGTGTCTCTGGTCTTCTTTATCCAGACATCTCATAGTATTTCACGGCCATGAATTTCAGTTTTAACAATTATGTTAGGCAATCTATGCCTTTATGTTTGCAAAGTTGGAGTGATTAGGACATATTGCCACCCCAGCCTTTAGACCAATACTGAAATAACAACATGATGATATTTCAGCAGTCAGAAGATCTGATTTCAGGCACCTACCTGAATCAGGTTAGCTGGTAGTATTTCATGCCTGTATCCATCATAAAAAGAAAGTGCTGTAGTGAAGCAGGGCATGGGGATACCAATCTGTACTCCAGTACTGATCACACGTCGCCAGGAGTCCTGGAAAAGAGTAAAAGAGGGGCGGAGGGAAAAAAGAAAGAAACTAATCAGAGCTTGCTTAGAGGTATGTGCAGGCATATGAACTATTCTAGTACAATAGCATGTGCTATTTCATGTTATATGAAATCTAATGACCAAGTCTGAGCAAATGCAGCAGTAGTTTCCTGATTTTACATAAACAAGGTTGATCCAAAATAATGGCAGGTAAGATAGAGTTAACAAACAGTACAGTAAGTACAGACATGTACTTCACATGTAATCAAGCCACAGCCTCAAGTAAGGATGTTGTTCTTTCACATAAACATAATCAGTGCACCTCAAAAGCAACAACACAGTGGGGAACATACTGAGCAAATACTGAGGCACTTTCAAGACCTCTAAGCAAGCACAGTACAAAGCCCACCCAAGGGTATAAGAGGTCAGTACAATACTTCAAAGACATGTGAATAATTCTAATTTCAACTGTACATCTGATTTAGTAACCTGCATGGAATATTCAGCTTCAGTTAAAAGAACTATTACCGATAATATACAACTTCTTTGTTGGTCAGTTAATCTGGTTTTAGTTCTGCCTGTCAACTCCATCCAAATCAGGACACTGTGTCCAAAAGTGGAACACTGTTATTTTGATGCTACTGCAAACAGTGGTAATAGAACAAAGCTTTATACTCTGCACAGCTGAAGTCCAAGTGCACAGTAGGCATAAGATACAGAGCAGTGATGAGAATGTTCACACAGGCTAGACCTTTTTTCCTGACATCATGGTTCTTCTGAATTGCTAGATTTCTGCCTAAGGCTCTTCTGTAACAGTAAAACAGAACCCTTAAGTTTCTAATAGTAGCTTGGTTCGTATCGAAGAGAAGAACCGTGACACAAGTACTGTATGTTCATTTGCTCCTGTATTACCTTTAGGTTGACAGTACAAATCTATCTTGCAACACTGCACGAGACCTCAGTTCATCACTTGATGTATCTGGATAATGATTTATAACGTAGTGCTTCAGTGATGCAACCTCTTTTTTCCTTCATTTAGAACTAACAGTCTTCCACTTTCTGATGAAATACAGGCAAGAGTTATTTGTAGGCATTTTTTCAAGGACAGGTTGCTAACTGTGGTGTCTGTCAAACTTCTAATTTGGACCTCAGCATAGCCTGCCTCATCACAGTAACTCTCTTGGTCCATTTCAACCAGCTCCAGCTCTGCATTTTTTTTTCCTGTCCTGATACAGTAGGACTGGTGTGTTCTACTAGAGAAGGGTACCTTGAAGCCACAGATGATGAATTCCAATACCCATACATTATGTGTATACAGATACACATATACAGTCCCAACAACCTTAAGGACTGTTTTAGAGATTTTGGGAATTAAGGATACTGTATAAATAAGTTTCGTGAGTGTTCTCTACTCTTTAATTTGTCAGTTTAAATATACTTGTGAAGGTAACTCCTGGGAAAGAAGCTGGAGAAGTCCAGACAGTTAACTATTGTTTTTATGCTCTTTCTTCCTTGGAAACTCACCTGACAGTTTTCAACAGCTGTCTTAAAGAAATCATCCAACAGCAAATTCTGGAGCTCAGGGTTTCGATCAAACGCATCTTTGATCTTCCCCAGGAACACACTAGGCAGAACACATATAGTAATAAAATTTCACAGCTTCCAACAAAGGCCTGGAATCCAAAACTTACAGTGCTGACATTTGACTCAGCCAGAATCAAATTCCAAACACTAAGAAAGATGCAAACAAAACAAAGACCAAAGAAAATCTGCAGTAGCTGAACCACCAGTAAATTGGCTTAATCTGGTAACCTTTATTGCCATCTACAGGAACAGCCTTTCATTATTTTATCAATCACATTAATTCCATGAATTGTCCAAGAAAATATCTAGGCTTGTCAGTCTAGCACCACTTAAACTAAATTGCCTGCTCTGCTCCCCTCAGCAACCAAGTTACCTCCTCATCTTAATTACCTTCTGATGATGCAGCCTCCTCTCCACATCAGTGCAATGCCACCATAATTCAGTGTCCAGCCAAATTCTTTGGCTGCTTGTCTCAGCAGCATGAAGCCTTGAGCATATGAGATAATCTTGGAAGCGTACAGGGCCTATAAAAACAAATTCACATTCCGAGTGAAGTCCCACAAAGTTGAATGAGATAACCCACAGTCTACATGCTCTGTTTAGCCCACATCTCATCAGGGATGAGTACAGTAGCCACATTCCAGCTATTTTAGAACCAAAATATCCTTTCTAATTGTTGGAAAGTTTAGTCTCAGAGAAAGATCAAGAGCTATTATCCCCATTACAAAGACAGGAGTGTTGAGAGATGAAAAAGTAGGCTCCTGTGCACAAGTTATGACCTCTGAACCCCAGGTAGTTGTCACTGCCCACTGTGGCTTAGACTTGAATTTCTTCAGGGCTGTTCTTTTGTCAGGAAAGGAACTGGTCACACTAGGCTTTGTGGACACTGCTAGACAATGCACAGTGGGATGGCTGAAGCAGGAACCAACTGTCAAGAAATGTCAACATAAACACAAGAGCTCCTCACCAGGATCTGCAGCATCCAAACCCTGCTTTGATATGCAGCTTTAATACAGCACTCTAGCAAGCACGATGACTCACCTTGCGTATGTCCTCCAGAAAAGCCTTCTTGTTCCCACCAAACTG